CCCCTATAAAACACTAAATCTTCCTTGCAAACATTTGATAATGAATTTTTTAAAATGCAATAGTGTCTACTTTTCATTCCACTATTTGTTTTTGAAATGGAAAACTAAAATATTTCCAACTGTTTCCTATGTGTGTGTGTGTGTTTTTACATAAAATTTTATAGTGGTCCAAGATTTATTAGTTTTCACCGTTTGTATGATTAATTAAAACTACTACATTTTAGTTTGTTATTATAAAAAAAAAACATAATTCCAGATGCATAAGGCTGCTAAAGCTTCCTACTTACCTCTCTTTCAGAAACCAATATGCGGAGCAAGGGTACAATCATATGCAGCCAACTTCTTTGGATGTTTCTTCTGCTCTGGGTGCTTATTGGGAAATCACACACTGAAGAAGACATCATCATTACAACCAAGAACGGCAAAGTCAGAGGGATGAACTTGCCAGTTCTTGGCGGCACAGTCACAGCCTTTCTTGGAATTCCCTATGCGCAGCCACCTCTTGGTAGACTTCGGTTCAAAAAGCCACAATCCTTGACCAAGTGGTCCGATATTTGGAATGCCACAAAATATGCAAACTCTTGCTATCAGAACATAGATCAAAGTTTTCCAGGCTTCCTTGGATCAGAGATGTGGAATCCAAATACTGACCTGAGTGAAGACTGTCTATATCTGAATGTATGGACTCCAGTACCCAAACCAAAAAATGCTACTGTAATGGTGTGGATCTACGGGGGTGGTTATCAAACTGGAACATCATCTTTACCTGTTTATGATGGCAAGTTTCTGGCACGAGTTGAGAGAGTTATTGTCGTTTCCATGAACTACAGGGTGGGTGCCCTAGGATTTTTAGCTTTACCAGGGAATTCAGAGGCACCAGGGAACATGGGCTTGTTTGACCAACAGCTGGCACTTCAGTGGGTCCAAAAAAATATAGCAGCCTTTGGTGGAAATCCTAAAAGTGTAACTCTCTTTGGAGAAAGTGCAGGGGCAGCTTCAGTTAGCCTTCACTTATTTTCCCCTAAAAGCCACCCATTGTTTACCAGAGCAATTTTGCAAAGTGGGTCTTCTAATGCTCCTTGGGCAGTAATATCCCCTGATGAAGCTAAGAACAGAACATTGACCTTAGCTAAATTTGTTGGTTGCTTTGGAGACAATGAGACTGAGATCATCAAATGCCTTCGGAATAAAGGCCCCCAGGAAATTCTTCTGAACGAAGTATTTGTTGTCCCCTATGATACTCTCTTGTCAGTGAATTTTGGCCCAACTGTGGATGGTGATTTCCTCACTGACATGCCAGACACACTACTCCGGCTTGGACAGTTTAAGAAAACCCAGATCTTGGTGGGTGTGAATAAAGATGAAGGGACAGCGTTTTTAGTATACGGTGCCCCTGGTTTCAGCAAAGATAACGACAGTATCATTACTAGAAAAGGATTTCAAGAAAGTCTAAAAATATTTTTTCGAGGAGTGAGTGAATTTGGAAGGGACTCCATCCTTTTCCATTACATGGACTGGTTAGATGATCAAAGAGCTGAAAGCTACCGTGAGGCCTTGGATGATGTGGTTGGGGATTACAATTTCATCTGCCCTGCCTTGGAGTTCACTAAAAAGTTCTCAGATTTGGGAAATAAAGCCTTTTTCTATTATTTTGAACACCGATCCTCCAAACTTCCTTGGCCTGAATGGATGGGAGTGATGCATGGTTATGAAATTGAATTTGTCTTTGGTTTACCTCTGGAAAGAAGAGCAAATTACACAAAAGCTGAAGAAATTTTGAGTAGATCCATAATGAAACAATGGGCAAATTTTGCAAAATATGGGTAAGTGACCATTGTTGAAATTGTCCTTATTTTGTTTTGTTTTGTTTTGTTCTGCTGAGCTGTGCTTGGTGTAGACTGCATTAAAAGCACAGAAACATTTTAAGTATTTATTCTATTTGTACTTTAGCTGATTTTGTATTTTACTATGTAGTGAATTTCAATTCCTTAGATTAGCATGCCTAAAAGAGATCATCAAATAACTTTTATGAAAAATATTTTTTGATAATGTTTCCAAAATACCACAGAGTACTTTAGCCGTCTCAGCCAGAGTTTGTATGGAAATAGATATATAGCTTAAGAACTGTGACCATATCTTTCAACCTGAAAGTTCTTAATGTTCACAGGTTTGGAAAAGAGTAGAAATGTATCTTTTCACTCTCTTAAGCATGGTAACAGTGGTACCCAATAACAAAGAAACATGCACCTGCATAGGGAAACCAAAAGCAAGATGGTGATGGGGTTGATCATTAGAGTACAGTTTTCCATTTGATGGAAGTTTTCCCCTAATAGGTTTGCTCATGACTTTTAGGTGACATGTGCTGGACAGAAGCTACAAAGCTCCTCATGTGTTTCTAAGCCATTTTCCGCTCAAGTAGTCATATGGCTGGTTAAAATCATCAGAAAACTTACCAAATAACATATTTTACCTTATATGTTACAAATAGTGTAGTATGTCTTCAAGAGTCCGGAAAAATAATCTGTTTGTATGTATATTCTAATATATTTTCTAAATATAACAAAAATGTATGTGTATAGAAAAATAAGGCTTTTTTCATAACTGCATTTGTAAAACAAAAAATGAATTTTATACAGTGGAATACATTATATGAATTAGAATGCTAAAAGGTAGAAATTTGGAAGTCTATTTTAAAAAGTAGTGCTTATAGAAACTCACCAATTAACTGATGCATTGATTCAATCTGTGATGCTGTCTTATATTAAAAGGAATGTTGATCAAAATATCATTCAGGTTTTATTTTCCAATTCCCATTTGAAATTTATTTTACTCCACGTTACAAAATACTAGTATGATGTAATTCTAAAAGATTGATACTGATCCACTGTGTATAAAGTTAAAATTCTTCCACCTGGTATTAGAGGCCTTTCTAATCTTGCTGCCAATCATTTTCCCCAACAATACCTGGCTGCTTGCTAGGACAGATATCTCATGAATGCCAAAGATTTCAAGCTTAGCCTTGTTCTTGCTATACACCTTGTTTAGGACATCTATTCCTACCCTTTTAAATGATACAAGCCCTACTATATTTTGTAAGGTCATCAGAATCTGCATGATTCATTAAGCAGATCTTTAATTCCTTGAGTTGTAATTGCTTCAAACTACCTTTTCACTCTCATAGAAATTATTGACTGTGCCTTGTCCATTTACTATTTTTCATTGTATCCTGAACCTCCTAATCTGGACTAAAGAGCTGCTTGGGGGGGGAAGGTGGTTATATTGGATACTCATTAAAGTACTGATTTGGGTATATATACTTAACCAATATGTAGTTAATGGTTGAACGAGAACCTCTAAAGGCTAGTATGAATAAGAAATATAAAGTTTGTATGAGGTACATGGACAACTATACTATTTAAAATTGTGCAATATATTTTTAATATATTTTATTGATTTAAGAGAGAGATAGAAACATCAATGATGAGCAAGAATCATTGATTGTGCATCTCCTGCACACCCCACACTGGGGATCAAGTCCCCAACCATCACATGTTCCTTGACTGGGAATGGAACCATGACCTCCTGGTTCATAGATCTACACTCAACCACTGAGCCACTTGGGCCAGGCAGGTTGTGCAATATATTGATGTGCAATATCTTATGCCTTCTCAACATCAACTTAAATTTCTGTTTTAGAAGGATCATCTTATTTCTAGATCTGAATTACTAAATATCTTATTCAGCTCTCATCTAAAGGCTATATTCTATAAAACATCATTAAATGTGTCTTTAATTACATCTTATAATTTAGAGATAAAAATAATTTAAGGAGGATTTCTTAAAATTATTGATTCTTATAATTTCTAAAGGACTTTATATTTTGCATGTTGAACTCATTAAGGACTTTATATTTGCTCATGTCAGAATGGAGAACACTACATAGCAAATGTGGCAAATATCTTGTGTATGGCACTCAGATAGTGGCAGATCAGAGAGTAGACTCTTTGACACAATAAATTAGATTGCTTAATCCTCATCTCCTTCTATGATTAACGTATCTTAATGGGAAATAAATGAAGGTTGACACATTTTAATTATTATGCTAAATTCATCTAAGTAAGATTATAAGCCAAAAGATTAAAGTAAACTGTAAAGGTATTTTAGCCATAACAAGATATCATGTTAGTTGATGAGTTTCTTTACAGTATATATTTACATAGTTCAGCATAGATTCATATTCCTTTAGAGTTGACATCATGGAAAACACAATGTTAATTTCCTGGTGTACATTATCTTTTTTCAAAGCATACTTATAACAAATATGGAAGCCTAGAATGGTTAAATAAACTCCAATGGAAACAAAGTTAGTTAAGTGTTAGATTTAGAGCCCTAGCTGTTTGTTTCAGTGGATAGAATGTTAGCCTGCATACTGAAGGGTCCCAAGTTTGATTCAGGTTAAGGGCACATGCCATGGTTATGGGCTCGATCCCCATTACGGGATGTGCAGGAGGCAACTGATCAATGGTTCTCTCTCATCATTGATGTTTCTATCTCTCTCTCCCTCTCTACCTTTCTCTCTGGAATTAATCAAAATATATTCTTAAAAAGTGTTAGATTTAGAAATCTAACTCTGTGGTTCTCAGTCCAGAGAATAATGTCTAGAATGGTTTTTGAGTGTTATTACCGGGAATGTAGTTGCTGCTAAGGTGAAGACCAGGGAAGTTGCTGAACACCTTATAATGCATAGGACAGCTCCACAACGAAGAATTATTCATTCTAAATGTCAATAAGAAGAAGAGTTCTACTTCCACTTTAACCAAATATGATACATTAAGAAAGTAAAAAAGTAGAACCAGCAGTTACAATTATCATTCAGAAAAAAAATTAGTTTTCAAGTTTACAGTTTATAAAATGTGTTAATAAATTATTCTCCTTAAATAATGTCAAATATATAACATACGTTTCACTTTGCTACTATCATTAACCTTCTTATTGTATGTATTTAATAATAAGAAGAAACAACAAAAGAAAAAAATACACAAACATATCCACAGCACCATTTCCTGAGATGTTAGCAATGTGAGGGTTAGCAGAAAATTAATACTTGCGTGCTCTCTCCTTTGTTTGCACCTGAGAGAGGTATGACTGATCATACAGGTATCAATATAAAAGGGTTGTAGTCCAGAACCAAAGTTTTGTTTGACAAACAAAACATCCCACCCATTTCCATGAACATATTAAGCAAGAACCAAGTTGTTCAATATGGGAGACATGCAAGAACCAATGTTTGACTGTATTTAAAAACGCTTTTAATTTGACTTCTTGCCAAAAATAAAGAGAACATTATTTTGTGGTAACATTAAATGGTGTTCAAATTTGCTAACTTTAGTTGCAGTGTTGGAGATTACTTACAAAATAGAAGCTGTGATATAAATTAGACATCTGTTAATTAGAAATAGAGCCTCTGTGTATTTTGATTGTTCCTGCTTTGACCTCAATTCCATCTCAGAAAGTGTACTTAAAATCTTACCCAAATAACACACAGGTCCATATGTGCATTACTTCTGATATCCTATAGTATTACAGGCTGAAATAGCAATATGACAATACCATCAGTTATTCATCCAACCAATAATTTGGTGAACATCAAATTCAATTTAGTAGCACTTAATGACATCCTTTCAGAACTACCTCAGTGATACAGAAGCTGATAAAATCAAACTTAATTTATCAGTGAAACCAGAACAGCTAAAGACAGAAAATAAGCCAAAATCCAATGAGAGCATCATGTGAGACAGAGAAAGATATTATTCCAGGACCCCTCTGAATATCTTCTACTGTTGTCAAGCATCTTCTGTTTGCTCTATCTTCTCTGAGTGCTATATCCAGAGTGCCTCTTGGACTACTTCAAGGGTAGACATTTTCAGATACACAGTCTTTCTTTCATATGTAATTACCATTTTATGTCCAATGTTAATCTTTCTATAGTTATATTAGTAGCCCGGTGCATGAAATTCATGCACATTAAAAGGGAATTAATTAGAGGAAATATTTTAATATTGCTATTTGCCTTTTCTCTATATTAGAAGTGTCAGAGATGAAAGAAAATTAGTAAAATGTATATAAAATATCCTTCCTGTCAGAGTCTGGGATGCATCACGAGACCCAGAGTCAAGTCCCTGACCAATCCCGCATGCCTCGAAATCATGCCAGACAGAGACCCAGCCAGTCCCACCTCCATTGGGTGAGACTCAGACCCGGCCAGTCCCACCCCCATCCCACCCTGCCGGGTGAGGGGCACTGAGAGGTGCGGCCTCAGGTAACCTGTCAAGCCCCTCTGGGGTAGGGGGCACAGCCGTATGTCCCCCACCCCGGCCTGGCTCCATGCAGCCTCAGATCCCTGCTGATGGGTCCTGATGGAGTCACAGTGTGACAACTATTTGCATATTAACCTTTTATCATTATGGTAATTTTAGGAAAGTTATTAAAATTTCCTACATTTTTCTTATCTGTAAAATGGGGATATAAATATTCTTCCCTAACTGACATACTGAAATATACTTTATTAATGACAGGAAATTGGTGTTTTGTTTTGTTTTTTTTTCTCATAAAAATACTCAATTTTTCCTCTACTAAGTACAAACTACCTCAATCTATTTTTATATTGTATAATTGTTTAACTTTCAGGCTTAACAAATTAAACAATTATGTTTTCAAAGAAATAGAAGTAAGGTGCAAAATTGAGGCAATCCTCATGCTTCTGTGTTTGTTCTTCTGGTGATAATTCATCTCTATAGAGCCCCTCTAAAATATTTACTGTTTTCTAACATGCTTTGATCAGAAATAAATGCTATGACACGCCACTTTTATTTTATACTACTTTAATATCCTGAAAACAAAAAAAATTAAAGTACTTGTAAGTAACTTCACAGCATCATTCCTGCTGCAATTTTCATGTAATTTATTTTTTTTAATTTATTCATTTACATTGAAATGAACTTTTCCACAAAAGAAACGATTTATTAAAAGGAAACAAAAATGTGTTAAGATTTCAGTTCCAAAAAATAAAACAGTTCCTGATTTTTGTACCTGTCAGCAGCTGTTATTACACTAAATGCAAAGCCATCATTTCTTAGTGCACAAGATTTTACTGAAATAATTGAGACCATTTAAAAATAAGCATTTTTCTGTATAGTAAATTAGTAATTACTAAAAATTACGTATTTTTCATATTTCTAGGGCAATGAATTTTCTGATTTGAATTATTTGGGAAATATATTTAGACACACACACACACACACACACACACACACACACACACTGAGGGATGGCTGGTTCATGTACATTACCATGACTTCATTATACCACTAGAAATGGTATATCTATCTTGTTTAGTTATATATGACACAAATAATAAAGTAATCAATTAAACAATGTTTTAACCCCACTTATTTTTGAAATTATTTATTTGTATTTCCTTTGTATATTCCTTGATTTTTCTTTTCTAGAAATATTTTATGTTTCCAAAAGGCAATAGACAAACTCAGAAAATTCAAAAAGAAAGTGGAGACCTAAGGCTTCTTTTGCTAAATATCTGTATAGAAATTTTGCATGTGCCTGTAACATTATATAGATTTCATGCAAATCCCTTCACCAAAAAATTAATTTTCAAGTTCCACTTGAACCTATTATTAGTATATTTTTCAACTTAAACAAAATATTTTAGTACTTCATGACAATACATTTTTTAATAAGGATTTCTTAAGCATACTAAAAAAATCGGAGTTAAAGGTATTTTTAACACAAATGGTACCATTATACTAATGAAGTACAAAATATATGGCTTCTATTAGAATAAGAAAAATGCTGAAATGATGACATTATGTAACACTTTTTTAGAGAAGGAAAGTGTGGTCCATAGAAGTAAAGGGAATTGGAGCTAATAGGTGAAAGAACAAAGATTAACTATGACGCAAGATTATTAATTTTTATTTCCTTGTATTATCCACTTACCAGTGTGCTTTCACTATGAATTACTGAAAGCACTCATTAAGTATACTTAGGAAATGCACTTGGTTGCAAACTTATAATTTTAACATGTTAGCACTCTGATACCTGGGTAATGGTACAGAGGTAAGGATATAGAACAGACTAAAATTAGACATCATGACATATTGACAGAAGTTTAAGTGTGAGAAAGTCTGTTATCTGGCCCTTCTAGTCCAATTCTTATCAGGTCCAATTCTTATCAGGCTTATAATTACATTTTCTGGCAACTAATAATTCATGTAGTTTCTACAGTAAAGAAAAAAATCCTTACCCTCTGGTTCTATAATTATTGTGGTACATTATCATAATTAACCTAGCTGGGACATTTTGATGACTTTGCAAAAGGGCGAGGGTTCAAATCCCTTTGGATTTATTTTATCGCTGTCACAATGACATTAATGTTCTATTACTTCAAGTCTTTTCACTCCCCCTTAGGAAATAGGTGAAGAATTATTTTACAAGAAGTGAAACAATTAATGTTAGCTTGAGTGTTTCTGTTAAAGTACTTATAGTTTACCAGATAAAATAGAAATGTAGGTAAAAAATAAACAAAACCAAACATATATGCATTAGTGTAATTTATTAGAAAAGGAAGAATTACACTATGGGACAATTTAAAGTCTACATAAGATCACTTGCAAAACCATTTCAGAGTGCAGCAATAGTTTACCATTAGTGACAGTGGAAGGAGAAGAAGCCAGATCCCCAAAGGGCTACATCTATGAAATAGCTATAAAACTAAAATATGTTTGACTAAGTGCTTCAAAATACTCTATCACATTGAAGAGGGTGACAACTAATGTTTTTGTAGTATAAGGGTGCTCATTAAAAAATGGAAAATCCTGCTTATTGGGCCCATATACTTGGAAATAATATAATTTGTTCTCTTCTTCAAGTGTCTTCTGTACTTGGGAAAACTATACCATTTGTAAATCTTAAGTCGGGCATTACACGTAGAATTAATTAATCAATTATTTTTTTATTAAAAGCACAGTAAAAATGTAATGCTTTAAAGACTTGTCAGAAACAAATAACTTCAAATTTCACAAAGAACAAAATGCGCTGACTAAATACTTTTACTGTATCAAATAACATGTTTTTATTGTTTCAAACTAAAATGTGTTTGGTCAGATTGAGGAATTCCAAGAAATTATTTTGCTTCAGTTTGCCTTCCTAGTCAATAACACTCGAGGTTAGAATGATAAAAGGTATAACTGCACCCTCTTTTTATTTTCTATATGTTAATATAGTGCCTGGACTTCTTCCTATTATGATAAAGTATTAACCTATTGGTATGTTAATGTTAACTTGTCCACAGATGTCTGTTATGTAAAAGCAAGTGAATATCTTATACAAATTAAATTAATTATTGTTGGTGTATCAGTCTGAAAGAATCGATATCAAATAATACTTATTTTATGAGTTAAAATATTAATTAAAATATATTTTATTTAATAATCAATTTCAAACCAAAACAATAACCTAATGTCACATGTGTTAGTTTTCACATTTTGCTTACATCTATAATATTGATGTTTCTGGATATATGAACAATTACATATTTTATCAAACTCCTTAAAATAAAAAATCTACATTTTGATATAGTTTTGGCAATCACAAGTTATTTTTTTAATGTGGATGGATCATGTATTATGGCAGTTTGATAATTCATCCTTCCATTTAATTCATTCAAAAAATATACTGAACACCTATATGCGCCAAGCATTACCTAGGAGATGGGAATATAGTAGTAATAAAAATACAGATGGAGAAAAGAAAAAACAAAAGAAGGAAAACATTGAGGAGAAACACATAGAAAATCTCTACCTTCCTGGGCTTTACAATCTAATAGCAGGAAAAAGACAATAAGCATATACATATTTTATAATGATCAGAGCTCTAAAAATAGTAAGCATAGTTAGGGGCATAGAGCATGATGTGAGTGGAATATGATATCACTTGCAGGGTGGTCATGAAAAGTCTTTGACAAAGTTATATTAGAGCAGAGTGACCGTTTAAAGTTCTAGGGTTGTCGAATTCAATCAGAGAAGGGGCCAAAATCTAAAATCCAGCCTAAATCGCGGGCCGAATGGTTTACTGAACAGTCATAAACTGTCATTGTGATGGAAACGCAGCGGAGTGCAGTGATGACAGCACGGTGCGGGCCACATTGCAAGGCCTGGCGGGACGGATTTGGCCCGCGGGCCTTGTGTTTGGCACATGTGGAACTCTGGATATCTGTGAGAAAGCCATCATGTGGATATCTTGGGGATATTTTCTCAGAAGAGAAAACATCAAGGACACGCATAAGTATTAAATACTTACAATATCAAAGTGCGGGTAGACGATAAAGTTAGAGAAGTATACAGGGCCAAAATATATATAATCTGAAGCATAATAAGTCCTTGGAATCCACTCTAAGTGAAATAGTAAGCCATGAAAAAAATTGGGTGGTTGAGATTCACAATTTGAGTCAATTTTATAAGCATCTCTCTGATAAGTAGATAAATAATGGGGAAAAGAAAGAAGAGCGAGGAGGCCGTAAAGGAATCAGATGAAAAATAATTGGGTCTTGCATTTTGTTTAAGTGGAAAGAAATGGTCAGATTCAGGATATACTTTGAACCAACATATTTGCTGGTAGATTGGATGTGGGATAATACTAGATAAGTAGAGATAAGGATGCTTCCAAGGGTTTTGACCTGAGCTACCCGAAGAACAGGAGTGCTATTTCCTGAGATTAGAATGATTTTAGGAAGATAGAGTTGGGATTGTGTAGTCAAAATTGTATTCTAAGTTGAAGGTGCCTACTTTGTAGATACTTAGAGAAAGAAAAGAGGTATTAGCTATTCTACACTGGCATCTGGAATTCAAGAGAGAGGTAGGGACTAGGGATAAATTTGATACCTTAACAGCCTGAAGATGGCATGTAGAGCCAGGAGACAAGATTATATCATCTATGGAGATTGTAGACAGAGCAGGTGTCTGAGCACTCCAAGGTTAGACATCAGGAGGGAGAAGAGCAACCAGCAGAAGTAAGTAGCCAATAAATTGAAAGAACAACTAGGACAAAATATCTCCCCAAGAGCAAATGAAGAAAACATTCAAGGAAGGAGCTAATAACTTTATCAATTATGGAATGAGTATAATGAAAACTATATGAAATTGTATATACAGGTCTGCGGGTTGGAAATATGAAGGTTATTGGTGTCTAAGATGTGATATTTTGAAGGAATTGGTGGGAATAAAAACCTTAATAGATATTCCAAAGAAAATGGGAGGCAAGGGATTGGAATGGTAGTGTGGATCAACTTTCTCCAAGAGCTTTACTCTGAAGTGAAATGATTGTTTTTGCTTTTGTGTAGGGAAATATTGCAATAGGTTTCTGGGCTGATGAGACTGGTACATTGATTAATGTGACTAATTTAGTTTTGTGTCAGCATTATAATTATCTATCTGTTTTCTTCCATCGCTTATTTTATTTTAAGAAAACAGTGCATCTAAATTCAATGCAAGCAGCTTGGTTAGAAAGCAGGCTGTTAGTAACTTGGATTTTGTGGAGCACAAACGGAGGAAATCCAGAGATGGGAAACAAAGGAAAAATAAAAACACTACCCAGATATTTTGAACACCAAAAAAGGCTTTCAGGAAATATTTTTTTATATATATAGGGGTGGGCAAAGTTAGGTTAGTAATAATAAATGTAATAATAAATAAATAAAAACACAGGGATAAACTGTGTTTCCTGTACTGACAACTATAAACCTACTTTTGCCCATCCTATATTTATTCCACATAAAGGGTTGTATTTTATCATTTGGAACTTAGTGACTTGTCATGTGCCATAAATTCTAAAGAACTAAACTTTTGTTTTTGGGGAGACAAATTAGAAGCAGCAATATTCTGAGACCTAAGGCAAGAAGCAAGTCATTTTAGAATACCCCCAGAGGTCAGAGACTAACAGCAGACAAGCAGTTTGAGGGGGAAAAACCTAGGATATGTGAGCTAGTAAAAGTAGTTACCTTACACCAGGTAACATGCTGTGCAGTGTCTTCTGTGTGCCCTTTAGCATTCAGGGAAATATGCAATGTCAGAAAAATTAATTTGTTAAAATAAAGTGAAGATGTAATAATAAAAATAACTGAACCCTTGAGTAATACTATTTGCACAAAATAATAATATCATTATTAAAGATGTATTTAGCCAACAAATACAGTTATTCAATGTAATATTATTATTATTATTATTATTATTATTATTTAACATTGTTGTGCAGTCAGAATATTCCTAAGAAAGTACTGACCAGGGCTGGCTGATGTACTCAATTGGTTGGAGTGTTATCCCATACACCAGTGTTTCCCAAACTTTTGACATATGTGTACCCCTTCTATAATTTTTGTAATGCTGAGTACCCCTCGTACTCATGAGAACATAGAATTAGGCACAGCTAAGCAAGGTGCAGTGCATATCCCCACCAAACTCCAGTGCAACGTGTACCCCCACCAAACTCTTCCCGTACTCCTGGGGGTATGCGTACCACACTTTGGGAAACACTGCTGGCATACACCAGAAGGTGGCTGGTTCGATTCTGGTCAGGGCATATACACAGGCTGTGGGTTCAATCCCCCACTGGGACATGTACAGGAGGAAACTGATCAGTGTTTCTCTCTCACATAGATGTATTTCTCTCTCTCTCTCTCTCTCTCTCTCTCTCTCTCTCTCTCTCTCTCAAATCAATAAAAACATATCCATGATTTAATATTAAAAAATAAACAATGTATTGACCAAATAGCCTTTGGATTAATCACTTTAGGCCTACTGTGTTGTGTGAATAATATTAATTAAAAATCTATTAACCACTAAGGAACTGGCTCTGTGCCCAGCATTTCCCTTTCATTATGATAGCTCTCTAGGGAAATATGATCCTTACCAACAAGTGGTGACAAGGATACTGAGGCTTAAAGAGCTTAAGCTGCTCAAACTTCCACAGATATTTATTAGTAGAAGCCAGAGGTACAATTTGAACCTGGGGTCTGATGAAAACCAAGTACATCTTCCATGCACTTTGCTCCATTTCTATTAACATTTTTGTGTATCCATAGGAAAATAAATAATTAAATTTCCTTTTTCTTTATCTTTAGTATAGGAGTGCTAAAGCCTATTTCCTGAGCTGTCATGGAAATATGAAAAAAATATATGTAAAACACATCAAATATTTCTAGACACATACCAAAGTAGGGTTAGCAGATAAAGGACAGAATAGCCAACTAAATTAGATGATCAGCTCAAAATTTTATTATTATTAATTATTATTATTATTAATTATTAATCATTTTAGTGCATGTCCCATAAATCTGCATGGAGCATTCTTACTAAAAAAAAATTTACTTGTTCAGTTGAAATTCTCATTTGACTGGGTGTGTTTTTGTTTTTTTATTTATCTAAATCTGGTCATTCTAACTGCAAGTCAGATGTGCTACATAGAACTGAAAATAGTCCCTAGGAGTAGGGTTTAGTGAAACTGAGAAACATTCAGTGAAGGGCCCACAATTGGTGGGAAGAACAGGAAAAAGAAACAGCAACAAACCTGGGTTGACTTTCACAACTGGATCAGGTCAGCAGGGATTGGAAAGTGGGGGTTTTCAAGGAATACCTGAATTTCTAATGCCCTGGCTATAATTCTCAAGATTGGGTCTGGACTGGGGCTAGCAGAGTTCAGCTTGCATGTTAGGGTTTCCATTAAATGTTAAGTGAGCTGCAGAAAATAAAGATTAATAGAAAGGCAAAAGCTAATCTAAATGTTAATATAGTACAATGATCAATGCAAATATTTGATAATTTACTATCTAAAAGAAAAATATAATAAATCATTTCAACATCAAAAAGATTCTACTTATATATTAATATATCTTTTAAATTTCATTGGTATATAATCAAAGTGAATTTTGAAATAACCAACCATTTCAGAGAGGAAGGAAGAGGGAGAGAGACATAGAAATATCAATGATGAAAAAGAAGCATTGATCAATTGCCTCCTGCATGCCCCACACTGGGGATGGAGCCTGCAACTCAGGCATGTACCCTTGATCGGGAATCGAACCATGACCTCCTGGTTCATAGGTCTATGCTCAACCACTGAGCCATGCCAGCCAGGCACATCTTCCACTTTTGAGCAAGATTGTTTCATTGCTTGTATTTTTATATTGCACAAATTAAAATTTAACATAGTTACTGTTTCCATGGCTGGTTGAAAAAAAAATACTTATTGTATTTATTTTAGCTATTGATATTTTACTGCAGCAGCTTCACATCATAATTCATAATTGCCATGAAATAAATTTCAGTCAATTTAACCTAAAACAAGTAAAGTACAAACAATAAAATAAAATCAGAGGAAACCATCACTACCATCATTAACTGCAATCTTTCAGGTGTTAACTTTGAGTCAGATGTTTCTGTTCTTCCAGAAATTCCACCTCAGTTTTATCTTCTTATCTTACCACAGTTTGTCTTATATAAAAGCACCACACCAGTTATTTATGTAACGGTATACTAAAGGACAGAAAACCATTTTAAGCAATAAAAGGAATATCAGCTAACAGCTTGCTTCAAATACTGCTAAAGAAACCAACATCTAAAACTCACTACTAATTTTAAACAGAAGAACTTGGTTTTCCAGATGGGCCACTGAAGCAGAGCTGATGACACAATGCATCCTTACTCCCAGGGGCAATTTGTCTAGTGGTGCTCGGTGTCCCAGTATTGAGCTTCAAAGTGGAAAGATGACAACAAAACAACACACCCTAGGACAAAATGGGCACAAACATTATAAAGTGACTAGAGGCCCGATGCATGAAATCCGTGCAAGGGTAGGCCTTCATAGCCCCAGCTGCCTCACGGCCCTGGCTTCCTTGCAACCCCATCCCCTTTCTGTACCTGCTTTGGCCTTATGCTGTCTGCATCTGCCACTACACACCCGGGTTCCCCAGTTCCATGGAGCCCCCCAGTGATCACCTGGCAGAAGGTGGCGTGGACCTTCCTCTTTAGGGACGATCATGGAACCCCCTGATTTATCGCCCCGTTGGGCAGTGACCTGGGCCTCCCTCCACAGGGTGATCATGGGGTGATTGATGGCAGTTCCCACCTGCCTTGGCTGGCCTGGCGCCAGTGTTTGTCATAGTGTGATCATCTGGAAGGTCGTCCGGATGATCATTCTGCTGTTCAGTCCTTTGGTTGATTTGGATATTACACTTTTATTATTATAGATAGAGCTATGCAAAGTCTGCAGAGAATCCCTTAAAATGCAATATTAGCACTCAAGTAAAGGAAGTATATATACTAGAAATAAACTATCCCAGACACTATATATAATGTATATTAAAATACTTTGCTAGGCATATTCTCCAGAGTAGAGACAATAAGAAAACATTTTCATGAAACTTTCTCTGTGAATTTGTGTCTGCTGCTAGAAAACCAAAACTCAGAAGAATATTATTTGTAGCTCATATTGAGTATAACTATAGACAATAAAACTAATTCTTACTGTCAGATGTCTATTTAAAAAAATTCAGTAAGCAAGAATATAGTCTACATTAAACATATTATTTTTGTCCCCTGAATAAATCTCAACTTCTGTAATTGGAGTAAAAATAAGAATGCATTTATGTATTATTTATATTTAAATTGTATTTAATTTCTTTTTCCCCCGTCACCACTTATCCCCCTATACTCTCTTTCACTTCCACCCACTCAAGATTGTATTTAAAGCAATTAATACAATGTCTGTAACATAGGAATAATAATTAAGAATTACAATTTTAATATTACTAGGAGTCATAAACATAAAACACCATTCTAATAATGTGTTACTGACTTCTTTGACAGACCAAAAAATAATGACATTTTTCAATAAGTTATGATAAAAAAATAATGCTTAGCTTGACGATGCTATTTTTTAAATGTTTGATAGTTAAGGAAATTTGAATAAGGGTTATGCTCTACTAGACATGTTTAGTCAACTTTTATTATTATAAAATTTTGATAGTCATAAAAGCCATACCATCTCTCTTGAAAGAACTGTGTATAGTATCACATTGTGTACTTCACCTTGGGAGGTACTGCAATATGAAAATATGCAACACTTGGATTATAAACAACACATTTTAATATGTGTGAGATAGAGCAGAATATACTTAAAACATGTATGCCTTACCACTGATACACATTCTAAATATGAGAGTGGATCTAAATAGTTACTATGCATGTGAGATTAAATAGGCACATACATAATGTGAAACAACGTATTGTAAAGCAACTTGAATGTCAAAAATAAATCTTTAACATCAACTTATTCATTCTAAATTTTTATTATATAATAATGTAAAGAATAAAAAGTGGTTTTTTAAGTATTTAATTTTTATTTAGTATGGCACATAAGAGATCCATGGACAATAAAATTTGGCAGTAGTGTTGTCTTGATGTAAAAGTTTAATATTTCATAACTTTTGAAAATTTAAACCATATGGAAATTAGATTTTGCTATTTTTATACCGGTAATTCAATATTTTTAATTATATTGCTCTTATGTTAGCCATTCAAACCCCTGAATAGCCTACAGAAAAATAAAGGTGAAACATTTTTACAGTATAGAAAATGAAAAGTTTCTAACAGCTTTGTCTTCTACAACCTAGATACCAAATAACACTCTCATCATAAAAATGAATAATTTTATAACAATTTATGAAATACATATAGATTGCTCAGCCAGTGTGATTCAGTGTTTGAGCATAAACCCATGAACCAGGAGGTCACCATTTGATTCCCTGTCAGGGCACTTGCCCAGCTGCAGGCTAGGTCCCGGGTAGGAGGAGTGCAGAAGGGAGCTGATGGGTGTTTCACTCTCATATAAATGTTTCTCTCTCTTTTTACCTCCCTCTTTTTCTCTCTAAAAATCAATATTTTTTTAATTTCCCATCATTTTTATCTTAATCATTTTAAGTAAATATCTCAGTGTACTGTGCAGTGATAACTATTTAAAAAACAACTAGAAATAATTTTGTGTTAAATATGATTGTATATCAGATAGGGAGAACTTCAATTATGTTTTCTAGGAAACTTACTAGACAAACAAGTTTCTAGAAAATATTATTTTACTTTAAAAAGGTCTTTATTTTAGAGATTGCAGCCAAAAGAAGGAAAAGAAAAAAAGAATGTTATGTGATGTCAGAAATATAAGCACATAAATATGATAATTCAACTATAATTTACCTAAACCTGAAGAATTCTTCTTCTAAACTTATAAGAATATACCAGATGCTGGAAAATTGAATAAAGTGAAGAACCTAACAAAACTTTTTGTTGTTGTTATTCTGTAATATTTATCTCAGAAATAAGAAAAAAAATGAAAATTACGTACTACTTGAGGTTTTCCTCCATTTCATCAACCGAATGGGGGGGAAAAAAGCATGACTTATTAAGAAAAAGATGATGTATCAATATTGTTTTTAAGAAAAGGTATGCATTTAACCTATCCTGCCAAAGAAATAGCATCGTTATTAATAGTTGTTTCTAAGATTACAGTGTTCTTGTCAAGCTATTTTTTCTAATTTCACAACTGAGTTTTCCATAATCAACAGATGGAAAGAACCCAATTTCGTCATTAGAACAAACAGAACAATATTCATCATTTTGACTATTATTCAGGCAGATTAAAATAAACTACATAATTAACTAAAGATGCTTCTGTATCCTTATTTGGGCATCTAGTTCTAGGCCTTTTGTGGATTGTCTGATATTATGGACATCAATAATGATTATAAAAACAAATATTTTATATTAAAGTTTACTCCACATCTCTATAATATTTTATAATTTTAATCATTAAATAAATATATTGAGATCCAACTATGTGTCAGGCACTATGCTAAGTGTTGTGGAAAACATAATGCAGAATAAAACACAGACCTTCTATCAAGGTGATAACCACCTAATGCTGGAAGAGAGAAACAAATAAGCAATTACCATACAGAGTGGTAAGGTCTGTAATATGGCTAAATTCTATGGAATAAAATGTAGAAGAACTGCAATCCAGCCCTAGGCTCTTATGGAAGGTCATCTTTCTCAATGAATCAGAGTCTTTTGGGAAGATAAAATATTGCTTGCAAAGACCTAAATGTGATAGAGATAACAAGAGAAAGTAAGAAGGCAGGTGTAAGGAGACATGAATATGGAGAAGTATGCAGAAACAGGTCATAAATTTTATAAACTCAGCTATTTGGGGATTATATTTCCATGTGGAAACATTTTGTTCTGTTTGTTTTCTTGTTTAAATCAGCAGAGAATGCTATCAAATTTGAATTTTAGTAAGAGCATCCTGTGCGCAGGGGAGAGGATGGCGTAGAGGTGAGCAATAAAACTGACAGGAAGAATGATTTGGAGATGTGTTGCAATGGTCCAGGGCAGCATTAACAATGACCTAGATTAGCAAGGTTATGCTGGGAATAAAAAGACCAAGCTGACAATGGATTTGAGAGATTCAATGGATATAAGTCATATATATGGTGATTCACTAGACATACAAAGTGTATGAGAAAGTGTATGAGAAGAAAGGGAAAATCAATAAATGCTATCCAGAGTTCTGACTTGACTAGCTAGAACCTTTTGCTGAATTAGGTACTTGTGGAGGACAGGGTTAAGTTTTTGAGTTCGGTCCTTCACCCATGGCAGTAGTGTGACATGTGTGAAGGACATAGGAGACATCTATGGTGACAGGTTGAGTAAGAACTTGCATATAAATGGTAATTTAAGTAATTGGATTGGGTATGATCACTGAGTATTTTATGTAGAATGACAAGAGATACAGACCTAGGATAATAATCAATATACAGTGTCAGGAAGGAAGAAAAGGTGCCTGGAATTCACAATAAGAAGAAGTGCCTAGAAAATTAGAAGAGAAAAAGAAAAAGAAAACAAGCGAAATTTGTGATGTTTTTGAAGTTGGCAAAAGTAAGTTTGTCAAAAAAAAAAAAAAAAAAAGGTAAAACATTGACAAAGTAAGCACTAAAAAAGTACATGACCTTTAGTATTTAATGATTCAGGTCCTTGTTTGTCATCCATCTGTGCTGTATTTAGATCTCCAAAATTATATAAAGAGAAATAAACTTCTCTCCATCTGCCTATATACATATGAGTGTGCATGAATCAAGATAAATATTCAAAACATCTAACAAAACATCTTATGGCATTAATAATTATAACCTTGTACTTAATTTTTTAAAAAATATATTTGTGTTCTTTTAATAAACTATGCTGAAATAAACACTAACCAACTTTCCACCTTTCTAAAATTCCATACCCTTTAATTGCTCCTTCTGGAATTCCCATACTGACACCAAGCTTCACTGCTGTATCAACTTCTGGTCATTTTTCTTCACACTTTTAGAGATGGCTGGTGGGTCCTGGCAATTCTTTTACTCACACCTTCATCTCATTCAAATAATTATTTTCCTTCACATGCATATACCACAGAGTTGTATGTACATATATAACTTCCTGAGTTCTCATTACCATTTTAAACATGATTTCTTCCTTCTCTCTCAGAATAATCCAATTCACCGAAGCAGACTCTGTCAGATGATACTCGGCTATTCCACTTTCCCATATTTCTGTAGCCATCTGCCTCAATACAAGTGAATCCTACTCATTCACTGGAGATTTTGGCATCTAGCTTGCTTTCCTTCTCTCTATTATAAATCATGTAATCATTTTAAAATATTTCAGTGTTTGTACTAATAATCCACCCAATGATTGAACTCTTCTTTCAGTCTTCTCTCCTGCAGGATTACAGCCTTATTTGTGTCTAAATATAAATAGCTCAATGTGCCTGTAAACACACACATACACACACACACACACACACACACACACACACACAGAGAGAGAGAGAGAGAGAGAGAGAGAGAGAGAGAGAGAGAGAAAGAGAGAGAGAGAGCACTAATAAATTAAAGACCTTAAACTCAAGATCTTTAATGTAGCCTAGTAATAAATGTCCCTACCTAATTAATTTCACAAAATTTTTCTATAGAATATTTATATTTTCTCTCCTCAAAGCTTAAAAATCCCTCCTCCAGTCCTATTTTCAGTTATAAACTGGCATTTACACTGAAAACAATGCACCCAGACTTAAACAGCTCATCATTTCCACCAACCTATCAAAATCACACCAAAGAACTCAAACTTCCTTCTTTGAAATGTATTCTGTCTCTCATCTCTATCTAGATTCTCCAGAGTCTATTCACTCATAACTATGCAAAAACTAGGCTTTTACAATTCTTTTTCTTCTCTCCTCCATCATTATTTTTCTCTCTATCATTCCCATTATTTTACTAATATGCAATATCTCTTATCTTGAAAATAAAGACATTGTTCAATGGTTATTTTCTCATTTCATTTCCCTAGTCTTTTTGACAGCAAAACTCTCTAAATGAGCTATCTTTACCAATTTTCTATTTTTCTCAATTTATATTTAAATTATTCCACTATCCCATTCACCTCATGTTGAATTGGGTGACAATTCTCAAAGTTGTCAACAGTAATTTCCACATTACCAAATCATGTAATAATCTATCAGTCATCTTACTTAACCTGTGTTTGAACTTTGTTCATTCTCTCCTCATTGAAGCATCTACTTTTGTTGGGTCCTGGGAACCCAGCAATCGCCAGGTAGTGTCTAACCTTTGTGAACCTACTCTTAGTCTTGTGTTGGTCTTTCTCCTCTTTTTCTCATTTCTGAATGTTTCCATGTTCCAAAATTCAGTCTTTGGACATGTTCTTTCTCCGTTTCTTTAATCCTCATCCAAAGATATTTTTCTATTGATTTTTAGAGAGAGAGGGATAGACAGAGAGAAATATCAATGTGAGAGAAACATAGATTAGATGACTCCTGCATATGGCTTCACCAGGGCTTGGTCATGGGAGGAGTCTGCAACTGTGGTATGTCCCTTTGATTGGAATCGAACCCAACTGCAGGCTGACACTCAATCTACTGAGACAAACCAGCTAAGCTTAGAGCATGTTCTCTTTGTTTATACATATTCATTTCATAAGGTATTCTATCCAGTTTCATGCCTTTAACTACTATTTACATTCTGATGGCTTCCAAAGTTATATCTGTAGCTCAGACCTCTCCCTGAACTCTTGGATCTTATGTGAATATTCACTTAAATATGTAATAACTATCACAAACTTAAAATATTCACAATTTTATTTAATATTTTCCTCCCATGCATCCCTATCTCAGTTAAAAATCACTCCCTCCTTCCACTTGCTTATGCCAAAATCCTCAAGGATCAACAATGCTGCCTCTCTTTGGACACTCTTCATATCCAGTTTGTCAGTAAATAATGTTAACTTGCTCTTTAAAAAAATAACCAAGCTAGGACTCACTTCAATAGTTCACATTGCTTATAATTATTAATGTCTATTACATTTATTTTTACCTAAAACAGTTGTAAATATAGTATGGACATGAGAAGATATTAAGATATAATTGTTAAATTTATTAGGTATGACAGTGTTGTTTTGCCTAAGTAGGAATATGTCCTTTTAAGGTGGAGGGAAGTGCATATTGAATTGCTTAGGTGAAGAATGTGATGTCTGACTCGGCCAGTATGCACAGTGGTTGAGTATTGACCTATGAACCAGGGGATCATAGTTCAATTCCTGGACAGGGCACATACTTGGGTTATGGGTTTGATCCCCAGTGTGGGGTGTTCAGGAAGCAGCTTACCAATGATTCTCTCATTATTGATGCTTCTATCTCTCTCTCCTTCTCCCTTCCTCTCTAAAATTAATAAAAAACATATTTAAAAAAGGAATGTGATGTCTTCTCAACAGCATAAAACAAATAAATAAATAGAATGGATTAGAAAATATCCAGAATTTAACCCTCTTTACCACTTCCACTGTTAATATTTAAGTTCAAACCATGATCATCCCCCATCTGCATTTTTTCACTAGTCTTTATCTCAATTCCACACCAGCTACACTAGTTTCCCTCTTTGCTGTTTATTGAACTTATCATAAAACTCCCATATTAAGTATAATTAGAACTTTTGCACTGGGTCTCCCTCATTGGTCTCTTTGCTTCCTTCTCCAGATATTTACATGAATAAATCATTCATTTTCTTCAGGTCACTCCTAAGTCACTTTCTCATTGGAGCCTCTGCTGGCTACATTTTTCAATACTCAGTGCTTGATATTTTCTTTTTCTTCTTATCTTGGCCCTCTTTGCACATATTATTTAGCATATTGATGTTGATTATCATCACTCTCTCCCACCAAAAGAACAGGAGTTGTTTTGTTTTTTTTTAATATATTTTATTGATTTTTTACAGAGAGGAAGAGAGAGAGATAGAGAGTTAGAAACGTCGATGAGAGAGAAACATCGACCAGCTGCCTCTTGCACACCCCCTACTGGGGATATGCCCGCAACCAATGTACATGCCTTTGACTGGAATCGAACCTGGGACCTTTCAGTCCGCAGACCGACGCTCTACCACTGAGCCAAACAGGCTTCGGCAGAACAGGAGTTTTTACATATTTTATTTAGAACTGTATACCTGGCATATTGTTGGGCACGTAGTAGTCAATGAGTGATTGTTCAGTAAGTGAATAAATGAATTGAATTATTTCTCTCATCTTACCTTTACTAGTAAAGATATCCAAAGCTTAGCTCTTAGATCTCTTCCCTATTGTCTTACTATAATTTTCCTTAGGAAATCTTATCTATGATATTAAACACCTTATATATGCTCATGAATTCTGTTTATATTTCTGAATGTTTCCTACTTTTATAAGTTATTCAAAGCCCAAATTGTTTTACATGTAAACCCTTTCTTTCTCTATTTTACATTAGCAAGTTTTTTTTTTCCAGCTCAACCCTGAAAATAGAGCCAAAAATAACTTAGATCAGGCTATTTTTACATTCAACCCATCAATGTATATTTTCTGATTTACTATAATAGCCAGTCAGTCTCCCTGATCCCACCACAGTGTCTCTAAAGTTTATTCTCCTCACTGTGGTTGGAGTTATATTTTTAAAATGTAGGCCAGATCTTATCACTGTCTAGATAATAGCTCTCTAGTGACTTATTTTTTCTAGAACAAAATCCAGATTTCTCATCATTATCTAAAAGGGCCTATATGACATGTTCTTTGGCTACTTCTGTTAAGATTCTCTCCCTTTTCCTATACCCCAGCTAACCCGGTCTCCTTGAGATCACTTATTAAAAATATATGAATAAATGGGCTCTGAGAAGTTGAATACCTTTGTGCAAGTTCAATCAATTTTTAGTAGTTGAGTTTGGTAGCAAAGCCTGTGATTCCAAACCATGTACTATGCAGCCCCTCAGAATGTAATGTGATATTGGCAGCAGGTTGAAGACATTAACTGAATCAGAGAACATAGGAAGTGAGTGCTTTGCAGAGGTTAAATATGATGTGGTCCCATAAAGTTGAGGGGAAGCAGCATGATAAACATAGATGTGTATGGCTGTGTTCACAGCCAGAGCCCAGCAAGGTGTTATTGATAGAAGAATGTGGAGACGTATGAGTCCATCACATACAAGGATAATTAAAATTGAGAATGGATACATTTGTCAAGGGAAAGGATAGAGGCAGGAAGTTTGAGTTAAGGTGATGCATTGGGAAACCAGAATCTAAATGACAGTTTCATTTTTTTTGTTTGTTTATCACAAACATATGAATAGCAAGGACTCTGGTCACAATGAGAGGGGTTTTAAAGATAGGACACAGGATAGGTATCTTTACCAAAACCTCTAGCTAGGCACATGTAATTTTTTAAAAGTTTTATAAATAAGTTTGGTATGACCCCTAATTAGATGTGTCTCCTTATCACCAACATTTGTTCTTCCTCTTTTTTTCCCCCTTCCCATTGAGGATTATTGATTGGTAATATAGGAAGCAGAAATGCACCTAAAATATTTTTTTCACAATACAAAGATAAAAGAGTAGATTAATAATATAAGAGAAAATAATATTAGAAGCAAAGATATAGAACATAAAAATAAATACAGATGTAAATTAAAAGCCATGTCATGGATAACATTCTCCCCACTGTACAGATAACATAAGCTACTGGTAAATACATGTTTAATGGAATATACTTTGAAGAAAGACTTTGGATGAAGATTTTAAAATTACAATGTTTTAAAACATGAAATAAAATTTTTATTTTAGTTTCTTCTTAATCCTAAGAGTTTTGAAATAAATTACATTAAAAACTGAACATCTAAGCACACACTCTCACATGGGTATCTAGGTTTTTCTTTCACCTCCACACACACACACACACACACACACACACACACACACACACACAAAACCCTTTTTGCTAAACTTCCAACACGCTATTATGGATTAGAAAGAGCATGGCTGGCTAGTAGAAAAGATGTACTTAATTTTAAAACCCATGTTTACACATAGTTGCCAAGGTGATTAATTCCTCTGTGTCTCTATTTCTAATAAGACCTACCTCATAGTTTTATTGGGGAAACATATCCAATGATATGTATCCTACTGTGGAAAAACCTGCAAGAGCCGGAATGGACTA